CCCACTTTCATTGTCCTCTCGCTTTCCCCATGTCCACCCTGCCTTCCCCTTCGCCACGCGTCCTGCCCAGACCTCCCCGCCTTTCCCACCTCACARCTTCCGTGCGCCTGTTGGAATCTTCCTGGTTGATGGGGAGGCGGAGCCAGATAGGGATTGAACCCACGACCTCCTGAATGCAACTTGTGTGCCTTACCAACTGAGCTAGGCCCGCAGACCATTGGTAAATAATTTTGATATGACCCTGAGGCAAAAGTTGTTCAGTTTATTTTCTACCTAGGCTACCAGAGTGGCCCGGGGTCAATTGCCTGGTCGGGCCAAAAACATTTTAAAACATAAAAGTAAAAAACATATTTTTGAAATTTRTTTTGTATTTTAGATTTGGTAAAGAACTTGGATGTGACCCTCGGGCAAAAGTTGTTCAGTTTCTTTTTCTTCATAACATAGTTTTTTTTCGGAGTTTGTTTGTTTCCTTTTTTCTTTTTTTTGATGGGACCTTCCTTGGTCCTTGCACGCGCTGGCCACCCGGGACCCGGGCGGCCCGGCTGGTAGCCTAGTTTTCTACATAATTACCTTTTTTCAGAGTTTTTGGATTGTTTTTGTTTTTTGGGGGAATTGGGGGGCCGGGGGAATTGTAGGCGGACCCAGGCGGTAGTTTTTGCACTTCAAATTTGGTAATGAATTTTTATGTGACTGTTTCTACATAATATTATCAGTCATATTATAAGGCGGAATTGTAGGGGGGATTGTTTCTACATAATATTATCAGTCATATTATCAGAATGGCCTAGGGCCACTTGCCTGGCCGAAAAAATAATAATAATAAAAATTGATTTTGCATTTTAAATTTGGTAATGAATTTTGATGTGACTACGAGGCAAAAGTTGTTCAGTTGATTTTTTTGCGTAATAGTTTTTTTTACGGAGTTTTTTATATATTATATTTTTTTTGTTGGGACCTTCTTTGGTCCTTGCACAGCCATGCCCCCTCGACAAACAAGGTGACCCAGGTGGACCGACATGCAGCCTATTATTTTTGCACTTTGCGAAAACGACGAGAAAGAGAAAGCCTTCCTCCCTCCTATCGCCCCGTCCACGCTACTCTCCTTCCACTGGCTGCGCAGTTCCCATTCGGCCCCGCCTTTCGCCTCACCGTGAAGGCCCGCCATCGATCCCCTCTTGCCACCTTTCCCCCCCCCAATCAAGAAGTCATTTCAAGCAGCCAACCCGTGAGCACTGAGCGGGGAAGGCCTGTCTATGTGCCTCACCTACAATGCTGGCACGGGTCCTTTCGAGAAATCCTTTCTAACCTGACAGGGGTCAAATATCGAATAATGCACGGAAGGTTTGTCTATGCACCCCACCTCAGTGTCAAACTTCAACTGCTTTCTAAATGACAAATGACATTTGTGTCCAACATTTTATAAAATAAACATTTTATTTGCTTTGCGCCAGACAATGTTGAACGGATGTTATTACGGTTTGAGTTATTTTATTTTTTCGTCTAACCATTTTTCTGATCTCTTTTAGTCTCCCAAGAAAAATAATATTTTTCGAATTTTGCATGCAAAAAACAGTAAAGTCTAGTTTTCAAAAACAGTCTACTTTTTACAAATTCCTTGTTAGGAACACTTCGAGTCATTCGAAGATTGGATGGACGCCGGCCTGCGCATTACCCCACACAAGGTTGCCTCTTTCTCAGTGATCGCGGCTTTCCTAAGAAACAAGGAGGAGAGGGTGCTAAGGGCAAGGGTGGAGGAGGCAGAAAGGAAAATGAGAGACCAGCCGATCTCGGAGTTGGTTTGGGGAGAAGAAAGAGCACAAAGGATGAGGGAGTGGGATCAGGGGGAGAAGAAAGAGCACAAAGGATGAGGGAGTGGGATCAGGCTCAGACGGAGAAACAGGCAAGATGGGATCTAATATTGAAAGAGAAATGGATAGTAGCAAACGACAAAATGACGAAGGAGAGTTTCCAGAAATTGCTGCCTAAGCTCAACATGACTCCTATGAAGGAACTGCAGCACCCACACCTACTGGGTCTGGAGCTGGCACAGTCCAATGCGGATATGTGCAAATATGTGACAGATTATTTCAGGGATATCCTGGCTACAAAGAAGCAGAATTGGAACTGGGAGACAGACCTAACAAAGGAAAGCACATTCTGGGACACATTCACAGTGCGCATCTCAGAGGAATGAAGACGAGATATGGACAGACCAGTTTCATCGGAAGAGCTAAAGGAGACAATTAAGTGCATGGCCTCAGGGAAGGCGCCAGGGGACGATGGTTTACCTGTGGAGTTTTTCTCCACCTGCTGGGACACACTGGAACTGGACCTGGTGCAACTGTACAACTCGATCCTGACTGGTGCGAAGCTGGGACAGTCTATGACAAAGGGCATCATCACCTTGTTATATAAGAAAGGCGACCGTTCGGATGTAAAAAATTGGAGGCCTATATCTTTACTGAACGTGACATACAAGATCTTGGCGAAGGCCTTGGCAAGAAGGCTGGCCAAATATCTACCGCAGTTAGTAGCAGGTGACCAGGGGGCTTTCGTTCAGAGCCGCTCAATCTTCGATAATATCTTGACGGCCGTCGAAGCACTGGAGGTGATCGAAGGAGACAATTTGGACATTGCAGTACTCATGATAGACCTGGAAAAGGCATATGATAGAGTCAATTGGACCTTTGTAATGTGTACACTTAGGGTCCTTGGGTTTGAAGAACCATTTTGCAACTGGATCAAAGCAATGTACGCTTTCGCATCTGCTGCAGTCCAGGTCAATGGGGTTTGCTCCAAGGATTTCCCGCTGTCTAGATCTCTGAGACAAGGGTGCCCGCTGGCACCCCTACTATTCGTCATTCAACTAGAGGTGTTGCTGAGCGCTATAAGATCTAACCCTAGGATACAGGGGTTACAACTAACAGACGACAAAGTCTGCAAGGTCAAAGCCTTGGCAGACGACCTGCTAGCCTTCTCAGCCAACTCGCCTGTACCTCTCAACGAACTCAGAAGATGCCTACAAATTTATGAGGATCTGTCAGAGGCTGCAATTAATTGGAAGAAATCTTCCTTCTTCCTACCTAAAGATTTTGAGCTTCAGGCCAGGTGGGGGATGAAGAGAGTACCTATCAATGCTGCTGAAAGGTTTATGGGAGTCMTGGTCTCCCTGGATGATTGCTCATCACCACGGAATCTCCTACTGCAGGAAAGAGTAACAGCAAGGATCCGAAGTTGGGGCAGTGCCCCACACCTATCACTGATGGGGAGAGCACTGGTGGTCACGGTAGGGGCATTTTCTCTACTCTGGTTCGTGCTCAGACTCTGCAAACTCACAGACGCTACACTCAAGAGTATAAGAGGGGTGGCCAG